CTTTAGAAGCTGGAAGTGGAACTGCCGTATGATCCAGAAATCTCATTACTGAACTCATTGTATCAAAGAAATACCTGCACCATCATGTTTATAGCAGCATTGCTAACAATAGTCAAAATATGAAATCAACCAAGGTGTCCATCATTCGATGAATGGATAAAGAAAATGTATATATATATATATATATGGAATATTGTTCAGCTATTAAAATGCATGAAATCCTGTCATTTGCAGCAAAATGGATGGAACTGGAGGACATCATGTTGAGCAAAATAAGCCAGACACCGAAAGACAAATATCACATTTTCTCCTTTAAATGTGGGAGTTAAAATTAAAAAAGAGAGAGAGAGAGAGAGAACCGAATCTGGAAACAGAATGTTGATTACTAAAGATTGGGAAGGATAAAAAATTTTTGGATCAAAAAATAGGAGGATCTGGATGTGGTTCATTAATTATGACAAAGATGCTAATATGAGAAACTAATAGGGGAAAAAAGAGACACCTTGCTACAAAACTTGAACTTCAAGGGATGATGGATGCAAAACAACATCTGTTCTAGTATGTCTGTTCTGATTCAAGGACATGCCCAATTGGTGGTGGAGAAACCCAAGCTGTATAGATGTGGAGTGTGGCATTTTTTAAGAGATTTTAAAAATTTTATTTGAAAGGCGGAGTTAGAGAAACAGGAGGAAGAGACAGAGAAAAAGAAAGAATCTTCCATTCTCTGGTCACTTCCCAAATGGCCACAGTGTTGGGGCTGGGCCAGTCACAAGCCAAGAGCCAGGGTGCAGAATCCCAAGTACTTGGGCCATCCTCTGCTGTTTTCCCAAGCACATTAGCAGGGAGCTGGATCAGAAATGGAGCAGCTGGATCTTAAACCAGCACGATTATGGGATGCTGGCATTGCAGGCAGAGGCTTAACATGCTATGCCACAACACTGGCCCTGGAGTGTGGTATTTTAAAGTGGATCCATAGATCATACCAACCACCACAACACATGGGAAAGAGGACACAGACAGGAATCAGAGGAGAGGTGGCCCGAACCACCATATTTGTGAAAGAGCCAAACTGTTGATGTTCTTCCCTTACTGGACTGGATTAATTTTTATCACAATAACTAGTGATTAATCACAAATTTCCCAGTGCCTTTTTTTCTGGATCCTATGACGTGCCAAGCAGTGTACAACATTAACTGCAGGAGTCCTGCCTGCCTTCCTAAAGGTGACTTCCTTGGTTGATCCCTAACTGAACAATGATCCAGGGTCTCAGAGGTGGAATGGCCTCCATCTGCAGCCTTGTTCTTGCCAGCTCCATCTGCCCATGAAGGGAAGGTGTTGACACTTTTATTACTTCATCAGGATGGAAGTATATATGGAAATTATATGCCAGACACCAAGGTGCAAGTAGCCCTCTAACTTTTTTTTTTTAGAACCACAAAAAGCAAGCAAGCATACTTTTATAAGAACTTAAACAGGAAGCTTGTAGAGAACATTATAGTTTTTCCACCCTTATTATAGATGAAATCTCTCTCCTGGGAAGAAGCACATGGAGTTTCAGATTGCTTTGATGTGGGAGACGAGGTAGGATTGGGGGTCTTTTAATAATGAGCTTTAATCACTTTTGAAAATGTGCTAGTGTAAAGAATCAGTAGTTAAGTAAACCAGAGGAAATCCCCAAGATATAAAGATTATAATTAACAATGCCAGAGCTGGCCCATCCAAAGCCAGAGGCCAGGATCTTCTTCTGGGTCTCACACTTAGGTGCAGGGGCCCAAGCATTTGGGTCATCTTCTACTGCTTTCCCAGGCCATAAAGGGAGCTGGATTGGAAGAGGAGCAGCTGGGACTAGAACCAGTGCCCATATGGGATGCTGGTGCTGCAGGCAGAGGTTTAGCCTACTGTGCCACAGCGCTGGCCCTTATTTATTTATTTTAACTTTAAAAATTCAACTATCAGAGATTTCTTAGTCAAACGATAAAAAGTTTCAGTCATAAGGAATAAGTTTTACTAATGTAGTGATATTTTGTACAGTATAATGACTATAATTAGTGTAAAATTGCTAAAAGAGAGGATTTTTAAATATTTTTTTAAATTTTTTTTTATTTTTTTTTTATTTTTTTTGACAGGCAGAGTGGACAGTGAGAGAGAGAGACAGAGAGAGAAAGGTCTTCCTTTGCCGTTGGTTCACCCTCCAATGGCCACCGCTGCAGCCGGCGCACCGCGCTGATCCGATGGCAGGAGCCAGGATCCAGGTGCTTTTCCTGGTCTCCCATGGGGTGCAGGGCCCAAGCACCTGGGCCATCCTCCACTGCACTCCCTGGCCATAGCAGAGAGCTGGCCTGGAAGAGGGGCAACCGGGACAGAATCCGGCGCCCCGACCGGGACTAGAACCCGGTGTGCCGGCGCCGCAAGACGGAGGATTAGCCTATTGAGCCATGGCGCCGGCCTGATTTTTAAATATTTTTGCCACAAAGAAATGATAGAGACATGTGGTAATAGATGTGTTCATTAACTTGATTTGATCATTCCACAATATAAACATATATTGTAGCATCACATTGTACCCATAAATATATACAATATTTGACAATTAAAATTTGATTAAAATAAAAGATTCTAAAAACTGAACTATTTTACATGAAAATGTTACAGCTTTCTTCTCATTTAATTAAATTGTATGTAGGTTGCTTGGTGAAAGTAATATCAGCAGAAATGACATAAATATTTACCAAGCTTGTATTATGTGCACTTTGCCCATTAATGGGTACCTCAACAGCTTCATGGAATATGAAAATTTTTTTAAACTTTTATTTAATAAATATAAATTTCAAAAGTACAACTTTTGGATTATAGCAGTTTTTTTCCCCCATAACCTCATTCCCACCTGCAAGCCACCCCATTTCCTACTCCCTCTCCCATCCCATTCTTCATTAAGATTAATTTTTATGAAATTAAAAGATAAATTTAGGGGCCAGCGTTGTGGCACACTGAGTTAAGTTGCTGCAGGAAAGACCCTGCTGCTGTTGCCTATCCAGCTTCCTGCTAATGTGCCTTGGAAAGCAGCAGAAGATGGTCTGAATACTTGGGCCCCTGCCACCCATTTTGGAGACCAGGATGGAGTTCCAGGCTCCTAGTTCCAGCCTCCTGCCCAGACCATTACAGCCACCTCGGGAGTGAATCAGCAGTTGAAAGGTATCATTTTCTCTTTGCTCTTACTCCTTCTTTGTTACGTGGCATTTCTAATCAGTATAATAAAGTTTTTTTAAAAATATAAATTCATTTTGGTGCAAAACAACTGTAAATCCATGCATAAGCATACCTTTGCATTTACAGTCTTCACAAGAAACTCATATTTTAAGTACAACAATCATCTCTAATTTACCAATAAGGAAACCAAAGATAAGCAAGGATAAGAAACTTAACCAAGATTACACGCTAAGTAGTAGAGCCAGTAATGAATCCCATTCTAACACTCAGTGTACTTTTACAAACACTAAGTTCCAGGAACTGTAGTCTGACCCCATCCTCAATGTGGTATGGCACACGTTTCTTTTATTTCACAGGATGTTTACATACTTCAGTTTGGATGAATGTGTCTAATATTTGACCCCATTTGTAGCTATTTGATTGTAGGGTCTGATGGACGGTGGAAAATTCTGGCAACCATGTAAGCACCTGATTGACTTAATGCCAAATGCTTACAAACATAAAAATATGTGATGACTGAGGATATTTTTACTTTTGCATCTGGTTGTATGGTGCCCTGACATAGAGTCAAACTCCAAACTACACAGCTCTAGAATTGAATATGACATTGTATAGACCCTCGGCGATCCTATTTTATTATTTAAAAGTACAGCATACAAAATGTGGGGGATAAAAAGAAAGGATTGTATTGAAATTAGAACTAAATGAGAACTCAAACTTCTGCCAGTCATTTGTAGGCATTAGTTCTTCATAACGTGGGGGTCCCTGTATCAACCAATCCAGGGAGTAAGTGACTTCACGATAAAAATGGAATTAATTACATTTTTTTTGCCTACATAAAATCTTTGCAGGAGTGCCTAAATGCCATCTACACAAAACTTGACCTGTTTTCGATGCTTAATTAACAACCAAGTAGGAAGGATTTTATTCAATGAAACAGAAACATTAATGATTTGTTCTATGCACTCCTACATTTCTCAGCCTTTCTCATTCAAACTTCTCAAGGCACACAGCTTGCTGACACAAGGGTTGAGCTTATTTGTTTTCACAGACACATAAAATTTTACATAATTATGGGGTACCATGTGATGATTTCATACATTCTGTAATGTACAAATCAGGGTAAACACATTTTCTCAAACATTCATCATTTCCTTGTGGTAAAAACATTCAAAATTACTGCTTCTAGGTTTTTTTTAAACATATATTTCATTTTAATTATCTACCCTACTTGGCAACAGAAGACCAAAACTTATTTCTCCTATATAACTATATCTTAATACCCACTGGCCAAGCTTTTACCACTCTCTCCTCCTACCCTCCCAGGAGTTTATTTAGGGACAATGTTGTTGGACAGTAACTATGGAGACAGTCAATAGTCCAGTTATCAATCTTTCCTACCCCATTAAATACTATAACAGTCCAATAAGCTCAGTTTGGAGAAAATAAGCTATTTGTTCACCATCACTATGACAGCCAGAGCATTTTTGCTAGTAGTAGTGATAAACTTGTATATAACTATTTTTAACATCTGCTTAGATCACTTTTCTTATCATAAGTACTTGTTTTTAAAGAAAATTGCTCAAGCCATGGGTACAGTGCCTACCACTTAGAAAGGTGCATAACTTGGTTTATGTTCTATAATGTTTTCATTGAACAAACATAATTCCTTGGTTTGAGGTACCATCACAAATTTGACATAAACATCACAGCCTTCTAAGTTCAGCAGGGGAAAATGTTGCCCACAACAACCCCTAAGACATAAAACCAAGGATAATCTAAGGATGTCTTACCGCAAATACTCCAGATGCACAAATCTGGTATTAGGAAGATACCAATTCCAAGCATGGCAGGCGATGTCTTCATTTCCTCTGCATATTAGGGTTAAAAAAGCTGCTCAAGTCGAAGGTGTCCCTTCCTCTACTAGTTCTTCAGATTTGGATCGGGTGCCTACTCCAGCGGTATTTGTGAAATAAAATAAAAGAGAAGAGAGAGGAGATGGGAGGGGGCAGTAGGAAGAGTCTGAATTATTTTGTGAAACAGGTGAACAGAAACACTACGTGGGACTCTGTTCTGTGGTTTCTGCTTCTTCTTAAATATGCTGTTGACTTTCAAACACCCTAAACTGAAAAGTAGCTCAGTCCTTAACTTCTCCTTCCGCTCTATCACCCTTTCTTCCCACCTTGAGGTTTTTCTCAAAGCTCAGCGAAATGAACTTTCAAGCAATATAAATTGCTGCAATCTTTAAATAGAGATTTTAATCAAATCAAGGTCAGGAAATTTATGGTGAAAGTACCCATAGTGAATATACATTTTCTCCCTTTTCACAGCTGTGATTATGAAACTTCTCTTATATAAACGACTTTAGATGTTTTCCCCCAAGCATTGTGTCGCAGTAAGATAAGAATGCTTATTGCCATTAAACCAGTGAAGACTTATCTGAAGCTATGGAGAAAATGAGTGGCAGGATGCACTTCCTCAACAGATGAGGAAAAGATAGCGTCTTTAGTCTGCAGATAGCTATCAGTGGAACAAGATCATCATTAGTGTTGGTTACATGACCTCTCTAAATAATAAAGTTCTGAGCCAAATGCGAAGATTTAGCCTGAATGGCAATTAAAGGAAACCGCTATATTCAACACTCTTCATGCAGTTTCTTTCTGGATGAGGTAGAATAGAAACAGCAAAGGAAGACGTGGAAAAAGTTCGAGATCAGAGAGCTCAGTGTCACTGTGGAACTGTTTTCTCCAAGGCCACTTGTAACAATTAGCTTAGTTTATAATCAAAGAAGCTAATACAATTCATCTGCCAGTTAAGATTCCAAATGAAAGATCTAAATCTGTGGCATTTGTGGTCATTGACAGAAACTTATTTTGCAAGCCTGTCCCTCAGAGGCTAGCGATGGCCTTCCAAGACCAAGCTTCAAAAGTTTTAAGTATCTTAAGTTAAAAAGAAAAAAAGAGTTACCATGTATTCATTTATTCAACTAGGCAAGGTACTATGATTGGAGATACAAAGATGAATGAGTTACTTTTCCTGATTTTAAAAGCTTAGTCATCCAGTGGCATAACTTTAATTGTTTTTAAGATTTTCTTATTTATTTGAAAGGCAGCATTACAGAGAGAGAGAGAGAGATTTATCTGCTGGTTCAGTCCCAAAATGGCAACAAGCAGGAACCAGGAGCTTCTTTCGGGTCTCCCACATGAGTACAGGGGTCCAAGCACTTGGGCCACTTTCCACTGCTTTCCCAGGTGCATTAGTAGGGAGCTGGATTGGAAGTGGAGCAACCAAAACTCCAACCAGTGCCCATATGTGATGCAGGCGGCAGCCTAACCCGCTACACCACAATGCCAGCCCCCAACCTGTAGTTTTACTGCTTCAATCCTCACATATTTATCCACACATAATATAATATGAAAACTAAGTCTCTTAGAACTTTAACATTGATTTCCTGGGGAATAGTTATGCAGCATTTACCCAACTTCTTGTGCTAGTTCTCAAGGGGGAATGCAACTTCCTGTGGCAGCTTAAACCAGGTGCACTGTCCCTGTAAAATGGCTCCAGAGGTCCAAAGTCATAAATCACAAGCCCAGGAGCTCAGTATGTTATCCCAGTGCAGAAAGAAGTCATTTTTACCCTATTTCTTAAAAAGATGTATTTATTAATTTATTTGAATGGCAGAGTTACAGAAAGAGAGAGAGAGACAGAGAGATCTTCTGTTCACTGTTTGATTTCCCAAATGGCTGCAATGACCAGGGATGAGCCAGGCCAAAGCCAGGAGCCTGGCACTCCATTTGAGTGTCCTGCATGGGTGACTGGGATCCAAGCACTTGGGCCATCTTCTGCTGTTTTCCCAGATTCATTAGCAGGGAGCTGGACTGGAAGTGGAGCAGCTGGGACTAGAACTGGTACTCAAATGAAATGCTGGCATTGCAGGTAACAGCTTAACCCACTGCACAATAGTTCCAGCCCTTTTTTACTTATTTACTTACCTCTTTATTTATATTTGAAAGGATGAGAGAAAGAGAGAACTCCTGTCTGATGGTTCACACCCAAGTGCCTGTGATGGGTGAGGCTGGGCTGAATTGAAGCAGGAGACAGGGACTCAATGCAGGTCTCTCACATGAATAGCAGGAACACAATTACCTGATCCATTATTGCTGCCTCCCAGAATCCACATTAGCAGGAATCTGGAATTGGAAGCAGAACTAGGAATTTAACTCAGGCAACCCAGGTTGCTGTAAGTATTCCATAAGAGATATAAACAGTATTGTATATGTCAACTTAACTAACATACCTGAGGTCACTATCACAGTGCCTGGCATAAAATAATCCTGATAAGTGTATTTTCCCTTTATTCTTCCCACTCAGAGAGGAAATTTTAAAATTATTGTCTTGACTTTTAATATCTGGTTTTTAAAAAGTTCCATTTATTTATTTGAAAGGCAGAGTGAGAGAGAGGAAGAGAGGATCTTCCATCTTCTGGTTCAGTCCTCAAATGCTCACAACAGCCAGGGCTGGGCCAGGCTGAAGCCAGGAGCCAGAAATTCTATCTGGGTCTTAGATGTGGGTAGAAGGAACTCAGGTACTTGGGCCATCATCTGCTGCCTTTGCACCTGTCATTGGCCCAGAGCCCCAGTTTCTGCATTCTGAAATTCATCACTACCTTTGTGCTAAAGCCATGCTTCTCAGACAATAAGCATGACAGAAATACTGAGACAGGCTCACTTCTGAGAGAGACAAGGATTCTCTGATGACTGACCTTGTTTTGAGCACTCTTTGATAGCCTTGCCAAAGTTTCATTAGAGTAGAAAGCAGTCTAGGATGCTTCAACACAGCCTGCTTCATGCTCTCCTTCACTCAGAATGATCCTTGTGTTGTGGTATAGTAGCCCTGCCAGTTCTACTTTCATTTTTTTCCTCACCAAAACAGATTCTTGTACATTTGATCTTGTCTTTGCATCTGCTTCTTGGAGAACCCAATCTAATGCAATAATTCTGAATCGTGATGCTAATATTGAATATACATTTTTTGTTTTGCTTTCCCTTATGTATTGTTCAGCAAATAATATTTTCCTTCTGATTTATAATGAATGGAAATGTATTTGGCTCATGGTCTGGAGGCTGGGAAGTCCACGATGGAGTGGTTGCTTATGGTGAGGGTCTTTTTGCTACATCACAATATGGCCACAGGTGTGACATGACACATGCACATGTCAGGATGAATAATAATGTACTAAACACCAGTCCCTGCTACCTGGCCTTTTGCAGAAAATTGGCCCCTGGAGGAACCTTTGATAAAGGTGTTTCATTATTTCAGATAACTGAGGTCCCCAGGTGTGGTGGTTGCAGTCACAGAGGATGAACTACTTGGTGCCGGGGAGAAGGCTGACTCTCTCCACCTCTCTGCTAGGTCCCTTGTGGTGTCCGTGTCATCCTTGAGCCGCTGGCAGTCACTCCAGGCATCACGTGCGCATCTGGAAACCACAAGCCAAGTCCAAGTTTGGCAGGGGTGCTAAGCTGCTCCATCCGTGTTTGAACACTCTACCCCTAAGTCAGTACTCTCTCAGCTTCCGCCTGGTCCCCTCGGGGCCACCGCAGGACGTGCGGCTGAGCTTGCTCTGGGTGCTACTTGCTGCCATGCCCTCTGCTTGCTGTAGGCTCGTGTCATAAAGACCCGCAGTGGGGCCGCCTCTCTACAGCTGTGCGTGCGGAGCAGCCCCCACTGCGTCGGGCCGGGCAGCCTTTACCTGCATCCTCCGCTCTCCTCCACGCCAGTTCGTCTCTGTTTCTTGAACCTGCCAAGCTCTTTCTCACCTTCGGGCCTGTGCGCCTCCTCCTGTCTAGAACGTTCTTTCCTAGTCTTGGGGCTGGACTCTGCACCTGTTACAGACTCACCGTCAGTGAGGTGCCCTCTTCAGAGACGACACCCCCAAGGCACCGGTCGGCAATGAGAGGGGCCGGGGCCTGGCGCTGGCCCTGTGTTCTCAGCAGGCGGGGCTCACGTGCCTCTGCCCCACCATATCACGTGTGGCTCCCTAGGCCCTAGGGCGCCCGCTGGGCTTCACAGCTGGCTAGTCGGAGGAGACCAGCACTGCTGAGGAGCCAACACCCCTTCCAAGGCTGCCCTCAGCCATGACCTGTGCGAGGTGGTATGCATGCCCTGCCTCACGGGCCTGTCCATATCACTTCCTCCTTGTTCCCTGTGTGTTGGATAGTATTTTCAAAGGGGGAGTCTTTAATAGGAGGCAAGAAATCATTAAAACTAATTAGAAGTCGGCGCCGCGGCTCACTGGGCTAATCCTCCGCCTTGCGGCACCGGCACACAGGATTCTAGTCCCGGTAGGGGCGCCGGATTCTGTCCCAGTTGCCCCTCTTCCAGGCCAGCTCTCTGCTGTGGCCAGGGAGTGCAGTGGAGGATGGCCCAAGTGTTTGGACCCTGGACCCCATGGGAGACCAGGAGAAGTACCTGGCTCCTGCCATCGGATCAGCGCCATGCGCCGGCCGCAGCACGCTGGCTGCGGTGGCCATTGGAGGGTGAACCAACGGCAAAGGAAGACCTTTCTCTCTGTCTCTCTCTCAGTGTCCACTCTGCCTGTAAAAAAAAAAAAAAAAAAAAAACCTAATTAGAAACTGCAGGATTAATGTAGGTAGCTTGGATGAAACTGAGTATCAGCAAGAAATAGGGAAATCAGGCATAGAAAACAGACAAAAACATGGGAAGTGAGGGCAGCTAAATGCATGGTGGGAATCGCAACATATAAAGTGAAAAGCTTTTCAAAACTTGTTTGCCCATGCTGCACTCACATTTGTCTTAGCTTGGAATTCTCTCCCTTTTTGTATAGCTGTATAGTGGGGAAAAGAACAAGTAAATGAAGTGAATGATGATTGGAAGTAAAAAAAAAAATGAGTTAGCTCTATTTTGAAGCAAGATGCAAAGAAGTGCTTGGGAGAAAAAGTTTGTCCTGCAAAGAAAGAACGTGCGTGTGCCCAGGTGTGCACATACATGTATGTATACATGAATATATATTAACCACTAGGATCAGACACCAGTGGGATCATTTGAGGGTCTCTTAGAGCAGCTTCCTGGGGGCCCCAACTGTGCTAGTCATTTTCATTGTTGAGTAATGAGATGATCTCTAAAGAGGAGTCCCAACAAGGGAGTCCAGGAGACCAATAAAACACAGAGGACTCAAGGGCTCAAAGAAGCAACTGCAAGGGAACTTTGAGAAGTTCATGGGGTGGCAGAGCAAGGCAGCGGCTGAGTAAGACGCTCCAGTGATCTCCCCAGAGACACCATTTTGAGCGGCTATTCACGCATCAGGTCACTTTCACAAGTGCCAGGTGAGAGCCTACAGTGATTGGTCTTAGCGAGAAGAGAAATGATGCATTGAAGAAGGCGGGAAGGAAAGAGCTGCTCCATGACCACCACTGCCACCACCCCAACTGCAAGCTGTGAAGCTTAGAGAGAGGGCCTTTCTGCTCAGGAGAGGGAGAGGAAATAAAACCAGACCCTACACTGAATCCCGGTACTGGGCATGGTATGGTGAAAACTAGAGTCAGACAGGACTGCACAGCCTCCACCCTCAGGCCTGTACCCAGAGATTCTTGATTTTGGCTTAAGCATTGCTAACATCACACAGATAGTGGGGCAAGTCTCCAGCCACTGGGCAGTAGGACACAAAGTGAGCTCGGGACCCTGTCATGGATCTGCTAACACTGTCACTAAGCAGATACTAATGGTCATGTTCTCCATGTCAGTGCCTGCAGAAGGAGCACCTGAATCTGCCCCAGCCCCAACTAGAGAATGATATATTCTGCAGCTGAACTTGTATCCTTACTAGCATCACCTGTGGTCGGTTGCAATAGCCTTGGGCTGCAAGACCACCTCAGCAGCAGGTAGTCCATAAAAAAAGTGGGACTGACCCTTTCCCATAATGCTCTTTTTCATATGGTCTAAGAAGCTGTAGAGTCTGAATATGATCTAGCATTAAGGCCTAAGTAACTATAAGACTACTTACTCCATTTCTCCCCAAGCATACACAGTGCAACACAGAGAAAATAATTGTTTGCATGGGAGAAGGAAAGGTAGGTGGGTGACAAGACAATGCTCAGAAATCTGGAACTGGCACTGCAGACACTCACACCGCTCTGCTGGACTTTGGGCCAATATTACCATGACCCCAACCATGCCCTTGTTGATGTGGGTACCTGAGCAAACTTGCCAGGACCTTGGGCCAGTACCACCAAAATCTCAACCACAGTGGAATGAGGGCTGGCATCCTTGTGATCCTAGATCCTGTCCCATGGTCTACTACCAAGACTTATGCAGCCCTACTAGTTCTAAGAGGAACACTCATGCCTCCAATGTTGCTGCCAACAATTGCTGTGGCAGAGATATGGGGAGACTATACTGTAGCACCCAACTGGAAATAAATCTAAAATAGTTGGCCAAATTGACACCTGAAGATACATCCTTAGGAAATTTTTACGATGAAAGCCACTCATTAAAAGTGATAGAGGTGCCGGTGCTGTGGCATAGTGGGTAAAGCCACTGCCTGCAGTGCTGGCATCTCATATGGGCATCAACTCAAGTTCTGGCTGCTCCACTTCCAATCCAGCTCTCTGCTATGGCCTGGGAAAGCAGTAGAAGATGGCCCTAGTCCTTGGGCCCCTACACCTGTGCAGGAGACCTGGAAGAAGCTCCTGGCTCCTGCCTTAGGATCGGCACAGCTCCTGCCATTGCTGCTAATTGGGGAGTGATCCAGCGGATGGAAGACCTCTCTCTCTCTCTTTGCCTCTCCTTCTCTCTCTGTGTAACTCTGCCTTTCAAATAAATAAATAAATAAATCTTTTTTAAGAAGTGATAGAAACAACTAATCTGACAGGTGTGTAAATACCAGACAAAGGACAGAGAAAATATGGAAATCAAGGCAATATGACTCAATCCAGGTCTCACATGTGGGTGACAGGGAACCTCCTACTTGAGACAAAACTCCTGCTTCCAAGGTTTGCATTAGCAGGAAGCTATTGCATGATGCTTTACAGACTCCAAAGAAAAATACATTGGTGAGATGTATGGTAAAGAATACGAAAGGATGATTACAAGGATATTCAAACAGTGGTGGGTGTTTGGCCTAGCGGTTAAGACACCAGCTAAAATGCCTGCACCCCATATCAGAGTGCCTGGATTTGATTCCCAGCTCTCGCTGTGACTGTAGCTTCCCAATAATACAAATCCAGGGAAGCAGAGGTGACGGCTCGAATTCCCCTGATACTCACACATGAGACTGGGATTGCATTCCTGGCTCTCAGCTTCCATCTGGCACAGTCTGCAGCCCTGGTGGCCATTTGGGGAGCTAACCTGCTAATGGAAGCTCTGTCCATCTCCCCACCCCCTCTCTGCCTCTCAAATAACTGCTTCCAATGAGAACAATGAAGGGATGTTTTTGGATCCCATGAGTAGGGAAAAGGACCTTTTCATGGACAATCTTGGAAGTCCCAGTGCAGAGAGCAGCCACTTCTTTGCATTGCTGGTGACTACCACCATTCTCGTTGCTGTTCTCTATATTGCCTATCACAACAAGCACAGGATTAGTGCTTTTGGCCTGAAAGGAAAAAGATCTAAAGCCTCACTTAGTGACCAAAGGCCAGTAACTACCAATGTTTGGACCCAAAGCTTTGTCTTTTGCTCATTAGAATGCAGCCCTCCTTCCTGATTTGTTTCTAAATCCAGAAATGTACTGTGACCTCAGAGACACCCCTCTTCTGGAGTTTGGTGGCAAGTCTGGGCTGGCATAGGTGGGGGATTGACTTGGTGGCAAGTCCGGGCTGGCATAGGTGGGGGATTGACTTGGGTTTTCCACCTGCACTGTGGTGACGTTCTACGTTCCCTTTATTCAGGCTGGTGTTTTCTGTCCTTTCCTCCTGAGTGTGAGTGGAGAGAGCATGTGGAAAGATGGCTATAGCCAAGGAGAGATGGCAGCCCTGGGCATACAGTGTTGCTGATCATCCTTCCTTGGGCCTTGACTCTGTAGTAATGGAAGCCCTTGACCAGTGGCACTGCCCTCTCTACTATGTATCTCTGCACACCTAGAAGAACACTCTGCAGGTAGAAGTGCTTCTCCACTAATGTCTCTTACTTTGGGGGATGTGCCCTACAAAAGATAGATGTTGAAGTGCTGATGGACAGATGTTGCTTTGAACACATCATTTTTTCCCCCAAAGGGTTCAGCAGCAAACCAAAACAGCAGATTAAAAACATTCTAACCTGTCTAGTATAAGTTTTGCAAAATTTTCTTATGTTTTATATTTTTTTTTGACAGGCAGAGTGGACAGTGAGAGAGAGAGACAGAGAGAAAGGTCTTCCTTTTCTCCGTTGGTTCACCCCCCAATGGCCACTGCGGCTGGCGCACTGCAGCCAGTGCACCGCGCTGATCCGAAGCCAGGAGCCAGATGCTTCTCCTAGTCTCCTGTGCGGGTGCAGGGTCCAAGGACTTGGGCCATCCTCCACTGCACTCCCTGGCCACAGCAGAGACCTAGCCTGGAAGAGGGGCAACCGGGACAGAATCTGGCGCCCTGACCGGGACTAGAACCCAGTGTGCCTGCGCCGCAGGCAGAGGATTAGCCTATTGAGCCACGGCGCCGGCCTATGTTTTCTATTTCTTGAGATAAAGTGAATCAACTCTGATTTGTTGTACTGAGTATAAAACTGAACTTGGGGTTTCTGGAGGTAAAGCCTCTGTTCTTATCAGATCATCAGATTTGCTTATAAATATGATTAATATTTAAAAAAATTTTTTTGACAGGCAGAGTGGACAGTGAGAAAGAGAGAGACAGAGAGAAAGGTCTTCCTTTGCCATTGGTTCACCCTCAATGGCCACCGCGGCTGGCGCACTGCGGCCGGCACACCGCGCTGATCCGATGGCAGGAGCCAAGTACTTCTCCTGGTCTCCCATGGGGTGCAGGGCCCAAGTACTTGGACCATCCTCCACTGCACTCCCGGGCCACAGCAGAGAGCTGGCCTGGAAGAGGGGCAACCGGGACAGAATCCAGCGCCCCGACCAGGACTAGAACCCGGTGTGCCGGCACCGCAGGTGGAGGATTAGCCTAGTGAGCCGTGGCGCCGGCCAATAATTAAAATATTTTTAAAAATAATATAAATTTTAAATAAAATAATAGTTATATTAAAATCATTATAAAAGTAGGATGCTCAAAGAGATATAAGGAAATGCAGACAGACAATTGAAAGAAATCGGGAAAAGAATACATGTTATGAAGGAGAAATTCAGCAAAGATAGAGATCTTTAAAAAATCAAACACAAATGTTGGAAATGAAGAACTCAATGA